CACCTTCAGACTGACGCTCGTCTCCGCCTCTGCCATCAGCCGCTCCCCGATGGCCCGGCCGGTGAGGGCCTTACCCGCCCGCCCCGCCAGGGGGGAGTCGTTGGGGCCGAACACCTGAGGGGGCAGGGCCGGGCAGAACGGGGGGCAGGGCCGGGGGAGGGAGAGGTTACACACTAAACCTATTGGCGACAAAGCCTCACAACTGCCAACGTCGCGAATCCCGGAAGGGAGAGAGGAGAGGGCCGGAAGGGAAGTGGGTTTAGGGAACAAGGCAAGCGGAACTCGGCGTGTGTGTGTATGCGTGTGTTTTGGGGGGCCCGCAGGGGGATTGGGGCTTTCAGATATGGAGGGCAGGGTACTACATGGGCCGTATAATACATTGGGGAGGGCAAGTACGGAGGGGAGGCCAGGTAGGGAGGGGGAAGGGCGAACAGTAAAGACGGGAAGGCTTGTGGTTTAAGAGGGTTCAGATGGGCCGAGAGATAAAGACACCGGGTTCACGCAGGTCACGGTTGTTGGTAGGACACCCCTCCTCACGGGGGGTCAGGCTACGTCGTACCATTGCAAGGGTGGGCGGGTCCACTCGACCCGGGTCCAGGGGGGTCGACAGCTCGGGGGAGGCGATGGTGTCGGCAATGCTGGCGGCGCCTGAGTGAGTGAGTGTGTGGGGGGGGAGGGGGGAGGGAAGGCAAGGGGGGTGTAGAGAGTGATGGAGTGATGTGGAGAGTGGGGAAGTGTGTGTCTGTGCTTTTACGACCTGAGCCGGGGGGGGAAGTGCTATGAGGATGCGTATGTGTGCATGTGTATTTCCCTCCAAGCCCCTCGTCGGCCCCACCTGGCCCCGCTACAGACACGATGTCCCCCGCTACAGCCTCCTCCAGCGGGATCTGTGAACGGCCGTGCGATGTACGGCAGGAGGTTTTGCGGCATACACAGAGTCGGTTGGGAGCTGGGAATCAGTAAAGTTGGCGAATTGACGGGAGGAAGGTGGGTACAACATGAAAATAAACAACGCAAACATGGGGATTAGGGATTAGCAGGAACGGAAAGGCCTAATCCAGCACGTCGGAAGCAAGTAAGGCAGGAATACTGCAAAAATGGGACAGGGACGTTTTACATGTCGGCAAGGTTAACGCAGCAAACACGCAGCGCGCTAAAATGAGGGTACCAAGCCCTCCCAGTCCTTCACGAATTAGGATAGTGTCATGCGCCTGGGGGGGCTTGTCTGGGGTTTTGTCGTACATGTGGGGTAGGAAAAACGAGACTCGCAACGGTACAAAAAACACACTCGGCCAGCACGCGACGCACACCGCACGTCACACGCGGCTCTGACTCTTCAGAACCACACAGCCACTCAGACACCACGGCTTTCATGGTCCAGTCACGGACCGGCACCGCGTTTCAAAAACGCTGGCCATTGATGCTGCCCCCCAGTCCACACCCTCCAACACAGTAGAAGAAAGAGAGAAGGGCAAATAACACCTGGAGCGAGCAACCCCCATATGCCCGCTTGTGATGACGCTGCAGCCCGGCCTCTTAAGACAGACGCACATACCTACATACACACGTACAAGTACTTGATGTCTTCTACCTTCAACCAACACACACACATGCAAATATTCACACACACACGCACACAGCCGCATCCTCAGCACCCAATCCCCCCGCACAGTTCGTAAAAACCACATACACTCGCGCACCCAACAGACACGTTCACACGCATACACACACCCGCCTACCTTGTCCATTCCCGCCCTCTTGGATATGCGGGTGATGCGCACCTCGCCCCCCACCGGACCTCCCGCCTCGTAGCTCAGTACACGGACCTGGATACACCAGGGGATGGGGGGGGAGTGGGGGGAAAGGGGGAGTTGTATGCAAGGGGACGTGTGTGCGTGTCACGCCATATGACGTGCTAACAGACATAAGAAATGCGGATGGATCACTGTGGGGTAATGATGATTATACAATAAGAGCTCTCCTTAAAGCTCCGGCTTGACTTGGCTGGCTCACTCCAGCTTCGTTAACTTGATTTGCGCGATCGCAGTAGGCGAGGACGGGCTGGGAACGGATCCCTGTCGAGCCTAGAGGTAGGAGCACTAAGGGCGGACCTTATGGAATGCTGTGTGTACACTCTCTGTCTATCCTGCTCTGATGCGCGTGTCGAGGTAGGGTAGGATTGCAGTGTTCTTACACCAAAACAGTCCTATCAACCCTCCTATAATTATATTATCTTCAATAATATAATGGTCTATACGCTCACGAAGAGTTGCTTCGAGAGCCAAACGACAAATGTTTGGCCTCTTCGCACTCGCATTTATGGCGAAGTACCGACTGATCCACGCCGGGCCTTATCACACCCGGCCCTACCCTGGATGCGTAACGCTCATCCGACTAACGACAGATGAACGACAACCTAACATCCTCAAATCACAACGGAAAGCGCCTTATACGCTAGTCAGGCA